GAAGATTAAATTATGGCAGTCTTACTGTCCCTCTTGGATGGCTGCAGACAGTCTTACTTTCCTTAGTAGGATGGCTGTTATAAGCGGAGCTAACTCTGACGCCTCCAAATCAACAGAAACTGAAATGGGTTATTGACACTGATGAATCAGGTCAACCAAAATTTTTTAGATCAAAGATCAAGGCTCTTTAAAGGGAAACCTATGTAGTTTTCAGTTGTACTACCAAACAGGAAGAGTTGAGATAATAGAAGCTAGAGCTTGCTTTCTTTGATCAGGGCTTTGATTTGATGAGGAATGAAGAGAGGTTGAGAGAAACTGAGAAAGAGAACAAGCAGAAAGATGCTAGCTAAAACTTATAAGAAGTTACTTACTAATGACACCAATGACACTGTGTAGTGGGAAAGGTGGGAAAAGTGGAGTACTTCTGGTTGATGAATGATGGCTTGATCTGGTTCTGGTTGTTGTGGTTCTGAGTTGGTCTGGAGTCTGAAGATCCTGAAAATGCAAACTCAGTATCCTCTGAGAGAATTTTCAGAGTTGGATTACATAATCACAACATGTACATGTGGTAGGGAGAGTTGGAATTCCAACTTAGTTGATATTTCACAAGGTACAGTGGGTGGACTGTTATTTTTGGCTGCTTGTTTTGGGTTCTACGGCTTCAAAGCACAAACTCCAAGTCACAAGACTTGGTGAATTGGTGCAGAATAGGTCCCAAAGAATGAATATGAAAAAAAAAAAAAGTTTCAAAATTTGTGAAAAATAAAAAATCAAAATGTTTCTTTCCAAAAGCTTTGTTATTGATTTTGGGGGAGTGGGAGTGCTGAGAGAAAGAAAGAGTGGAACACGGGAAGAATGATTATAAATGAAAAAAATTGGAACCAAAAAAAGGTTTGGCCAGGTTGGTTGTCCAGATGGGAGCCAAAACAGTAAATTCTAGTGCTTGACTACAATGTGGGCTGGTGAATGCCCCAATCAACAGCTCTTTGAAGCCATCTGGAAAGCAATTTTTCCAAGATTTTCATTCATAATCATTTTTCTAATATCCCAATCTTCCTTCCTCTCAGCACTCTCAATCCCCCAAAATGAATTTCAAAGCTTTTGAGAAAGATAAATTTTATTTTTTATTTTTCACAAATTTTGAAACTTTGTTTTTTGTTTTTATTTTTTCATATTCATTCTCTGGGACCTATTCTGCACCACTTCACCAATTCTTGTGACTTCAAGTTTGTGCTTTGAAGCTCTGGAATCCAAAACAAGCAGACAAAAATAACGGTCCACCCACTGTACAGTGAAATATAACAAAGTCTATGAAGGAGAAGAGTAGTGCAAAAGTGGTTAGTAGTGACTAGGGTTGAAATTACATGAGGAATTCATTTCTGAAGTCAGAATTCAATAAAATCTTAAGCTTAATAAGTTACAGTAGGAACATGGATGAACATGGGGGACTTGAGCAGTCTTTTGGCCAGCTTGGCTGGCTCTAAGGCTGACAACATCTACCTCTTTGATCAGAAGGGTTTCCTTCCGATCAACAAGGTAGATGCAACTCGCTGATCCAAAGGGTTTCCTTCCGGGCAACAAGGTAGATGTACCTTGCTGATTGGAAGGGTTTCCTTGCGGTCAACAAGGTACATGTACCTCATCGACCAGAAGGAAACCCTTCCAATTGATGAGGTACATTTTCCTCATCAACCGGAAGGAAACCCTTCTGGTCAACCTGGCCGGGACGCTGGGGTTCCCCCCAGCCTCAAGGCCATTTTTTCATTTTTTTTAATTTTTTTTTTCTAATTTTTGTTTTCTTTTTCTTTTTCTTTTTTTTGTCTTTTTCTTTTTTTTCTTTTCTTTTTATTTTTATTTTATTTTTCCTTTTCTTTTTTGTTTCTTTTTTTTCAGCAATTACAAACAGTTTTTTTTGAAATTCTTTTCAAACGTTTTTGACTTTATTTTTTTATGTTTTTAAAATAAAATGATAGTCACAAAAAATCCCCCCAAAAAAACTCAAACAAGATGCACAAGGATTGTAATGAACCTTGCAGTCAAACTAAGTGAGGAAGAGAGGGGAGGTACCCGCAGTACCTGCCAACAGTACCGCTGGTACCCGCTGGGAGGTGCCTGGTGCGGTACTTGGTACCTATTTTCTGAAAAAATTCAACAGTTACTCAAGTACAAACAAACAATCTCTAGTAAAGTCTTGATGACCGGAGGAATCCCTCCAATCATCAAGACGGTGTACGTTCTTGATGACTGGAGGTATCCCTCCAGCTTTCAAGACTGTAGTCAGTCTCGATGGCCAGAGGTTTCCCTCTGGCCTCAACAGGCCCATGTAGGACACCGACTGGTGTCCTACATGGGTTGCTGACACCTTTGTGCAGCCCAACACGCGCAAAAAAGCATTGCCATGGTGGGTGTCAGGGCAGGTGTCAAGGCGGGACCTGGGTACCCACCATTTTTTTTCCCAAATGTTGACACCCACACACGCACCCGGCACCCGTTTGCGGGTACTCGCTTTGGAAAACAGGTACCTGCTGACATCTCTAATGCCAACATTCATTAAAAGCCCATCACCTACACCTTGGGAGTACTTGACACTGCCTTTGCCGGCCCACTAGGACATCTATCATGTAGAAAGTTAGAACAAGATCCAACAATTTAAATTTGGGGGTCAGAAAAAAGACTCCCTAAAATTTTGACAACAACTCCCATTTTGGTCGAGGAGTCGTTGGGCAGGAGTCTTTCCTCCAAACTGATGGCCAACTTTGGGAGTTGGCCATTGATTTTTTTTTTCTTTTGATTTTTAGGGAGTTGGTGCCCCAAACCACCCCTCATGCTTGATGGGGTTTGGGAGCAGGATGTCAGCCTCTGGGTAACTAACCTGAGTGTTTGGTAGTAAAAGGTTGTTACTATGAGTTGACTGAAGTTTTTGAGCATGGTGAGTGTTAGGTAGTGGGTGATTAATACCAGTCCTGTAAAGAGGAGGTTTCACTCTATCAGTATGGTCTTTACTGAGAGGCTTGTTATCAACAGCGCATCCGGATCAATACAAGGTATTAATAGGCATCCAGGGTAATAAGACTCACCTGGGATTGATTTGGTTATTCCCAAAAGGGAATGGGCTAACAATACTTATTAAGCTTTAACAAAATTAGTTGAAGATTAACGGGTATTGTTGATGGGAATATCCAGCAAGGCTATGAATACTGTGGATAAGTTGAGTAAGAGTACTGAAGCTTAAGAACAATAAATGTAGACAAGATTTATGTTGGTTACGGGTACTGTATCAATATAAATGTTAACTGGTTTAACTGGTGTCTGAATATTCTGGGGATTAATCAGTGAAAGGGGCACGGATTATAAGTTCCAGAATATTGAATGAGGGAAAGAATGAGCGCTCAGAATCAAGGGAGCTTTGGCCAGGAGAATGAGCACATCAATTGAATGACTGATCATTATTTGTCATGATCTGTAAGTGACATCATAATTGTGTACTAGTTGATCAATGTACTAGTTGCTCTTGATGTGTGTCTTAAAAGATCCTCTAATGATGTAGTCATAATTGTGATCAGTGCATGTATTGAATGTATTAATTCTATTAACACTTAATATTTACTATTTAATACATGTACATATTTATTTGTAATGATATTTGACCGTGAAAATACTGTAGAGCAGGGATAACTTGTGGTACAGGTATTTCACGGACAAAGGAGTGAAAGGTAAGTGATAATTACTTATGTATAGAACAGATATTTATTTAATAGATAAGTAATTAACAGATAAGATAAATATAATATAAATAAGATAAGTTAATAATAATGATAAGATAACAAGAGGTAAAGGTAATCAACATTATGGATATGTACTTATGTAAGTAAGTACAGGTGTTTCAGTTACTTGGTACATGAAAGGTACTGTGACATGTACTCTGTGGCTGACACAGGATTTCCTTCCGGTTGATGAGAAACAAAAATCTCATTGACCAGAAGGGATTCCTTCCGGTTGATGAGGTATAACAACCTCATCAACCAGAAGGGATTCCTTCCGGTCAATGAGGTATGACATCCTCATTGACGGTAGTTACATCTCATCAATCAGAAGGGATCCCTTCTGCAGATGAGGATGTTATACCTCATCAACCAGAAGGAATCCCTTCCAGCCAATGAGGTTGTCATACCTCATCAACCAGAGAGAATCCCTTCCGGCTTATGAGGTTGTTATACCTCATCGATTGGAAGGTTGATGAGATGTAACAACCTCATTGATTGGAAGGTATACCTCATTGATTGGAAGGTATACCTCATTGATTGGAAGGGATTCCTTCTGTTGATGAGGATGTTATACCTGATTGACGTGAAGTAATCCCTTCCGGTTGATGAGGTTGTTATACCTCATTTACCCAAAGGAATCCCTTGCGGTCAATGGGCCAACTCCCAAAGTTGGCCATCAGTTTGGAGGAACGACCCCCCCCCCAACAACCCCTCGGCCAAAATGGGAGTCATGGTCAAATTTTAGGGAGTTGTTTTTCCAACCCCCTTTAAATTTTTTTCAATCAGCTCCATTGCAATGTGTAAAATGAAAGTGTAAAACTTGTGTGATGCATCCCACATTTTGGTTTTCCAATTTAAAATCTTGTGGGCCCCTTGAGTCTGCACCCAAGGGGGGGGGCATGGAATTTTGTGTTATGTGTGGGAGAGAGTATGAGTTGGGAGATGGTGATTGATTGCTGCACAGGTTTTGCTGTCTCACACAAAAAAGTGCAGAATTTCAGGATGCAGGAGGATGGAGAGGAGATCCAGAAGAACAGTTGCTTAAATGATGTTTACATCCTGGATTGATCTAACTCCCAATAACTGATTTGCATCCCCAGTGGAGGCAAGGTTTATGGAGCCTGGGAGGTGGAGTTGCTCTCATGGTTGGGATGTATGTATGCGCGTGCCGGTGCTGGAGGGTGCCCAGGATGACATAAGCCGATTATCTCTCTTGACCTCTCTTGACCGTCACTTCACAGCAGCAAAAAAAAAAAAACCCAACACCCACCACGAGAGCGACGAGGACGATGATGATGACCACAAGTACTCGAATAGCAACCCGATCGATGTTCATCAAGATATTGATCAGTCTGATCCTCATCTGCTCCCACGTCCATGCTCACCAGAACGAACAGATCATCATCGATTTCGATGGTGGAGACGACCACCAACAAGCTACTACAGCCACCCCCACCACTACCCTAGATACCCCACAGGCCGTGCCGACAGGAATCCCCGCGCAATTGATCAAGAAAGTCACCGGGTGGAACGACACCATTGTTGCCAAACTTCTCGGCCAGATCCCTCCTCGTCCACCCCATCCGTTCGTGGTACCGATCACTGACGAGAACTACGAGGAGGTGATTGAATCAGAGATCGATTCTGTCCAGCCCGGCTGGGGTAGCGATCAGGATACCGTATGGGTCATCTCAGTGTGCGTCAGCCTAACCCCAACAAACTTTCTATCATTATTAGAGGCAACGAGACTTATCATGAGTGAAAAACTCCCCGGCGGCCGGCCTGGTAATTTCTAGTGTTGCAAGCGACAGACCGTCGACGCTGTTTGACGACCAGTTCGATAAACTCGCTTCAAATTCGTCCCTGGCCATCAAGCCGATCCCGCCAAAGAAGAGAGAAGACGAACCTGACGTGATCCAGAAAGATCCCTCGGATCAGTATCTTTTCAAGCCTCAGATTAGATTCGCTCGGATCGATTACATGGCTAACACCGATTTCACTCTGACAAAATGGTTGATATTCAAGTTGAGCAAACCAAGATATGATCAACTCTCAAAGAATCACTGAGAATCCTGATCAATCTATTCTGGAAACTCTTCGAAAACAGGTGCCCTGTCATGGTAGTTGTCACTAAGAGAGGAGACGAACTCCGGTTCTTCAAAACTGGTGGAGCCCCTCCCTCGGCCGAACATCTGGGCGAATTCTTACGAGAAGAGAGATACCTACTCAAGCCAATCTGGAACTCGACGTTTTCCCACGGCAATTCAGGGTAAGTGGCTCTCTCCTCTCTCCATCTTTCCCCACCCAAGTCTAGCAACACACATTGATGGTGATCGTTAATGGTCCAATAACAGGGAATGGGTGGTCGTCTTGATGGGAAGGGCCTTCCAAAGCTTTCACATGTTGACCAACCAAGTACCTGGCTGGCTACTGATGATCGTGACCAGCATGCTCGGTACCAGTCTGATGCAATGGCTCCATAAATCTCCCCCCAAGACTACCAACACTCGCTCTACTAACACATCATCGACCAGAAACTCAAAAAATCCCCCGTCCGAAAATCTGGCCTCTCAAGAACTGAAGAAAGAACTCGCCCAAGCCGCCGTCCAACTCGCTCAAATCACCGACCAGAAACGTGGTACTTCGTCTGCAAAGACTCAATCTACAACACCTCAACGGAGAAAATAGATAAAACTGATGGAATTCTTTCTCGGTTCTCCTCGCACCTCCTGTCATTCTATCCCTTTTTGCGCGTACATTTTGCTCGTCATCATGAATCAAAGATAGATTCATTAATGTATTCTCTTGTTATTTTTGTCTGTTAACTCGTCTTGCTCACTCTCATGTATAGGTTTCCATGTTACATCTGCCTGAACATTCTCTCAATTGCCTCATCATGGAATCTTCAACCAGGTTATGTGATTGTGTTATTTCCCCTATTGTAATAAGAACTTGCAGTACTTACATGTCCATTGTCAAAAGCTATAAATCAAGATATGGGTTTCATCAAAATTGTAAGACTTTTTAAGACTTCCACAGCTGTACAGTCGGCGCTCCAAAATCCTAAACAAGTCAGATGCATAGAATGCTCACCATTGCTAGATCCTAATTTTCTCTCTAAATCTATTCAACTGTGTCCAAGCTGTATGGCTATATGTGCTCTTTGCTCGAGGTTGAGAACATAGAAAAGAGAGCTGATCATCACCCCAAAAAAACTACAGGGTTGTATTGGGTATTGCAGAGTATGGCTATAGGGGTGAACAACGCTGGTGTCCTCAAGTTTATGTAAACAGGTGCACAGTATCTAAGAGGAGGGAAAAAAGACAAAGATAGAGAGTATGATGATTGTAGGTGTCATCATAGCAAAAAGACCACAAAATAATAAGACGATATACACAGTTGGGAGAAACTATCCCTCTTGTTCATTTTTTAACAACATTAAGAAGACAATTACCATTCCAACGATTTGACATGTTTCGGGAAAAAAAATGAAAGATATGCGAGTGTTCAAAAGAGAGAATTAATAGTTACATCCGCAGACAATCGGTTACTTACACAGGAAAACAAAGGTGAGATCGGAATTAAAGGACGTGTAAACAAAAAAGCAGAATCCTAGAAATGATAGGTAGAGTCAGTGTGCTGCAGGCTGAACGAGAGACAGAAATTGCGGACCTGCTTACAACTATGACTGGCTTGGCTGCTGGCTCAGCCCAATCAGCTTTTCTTGAGCCATCCGCAAACTGGCTAAAATTTGAGCATAAAGTTCCTCAGGGTCCCATGTTCTGAGGCAGGGATGGCACAAGATTTTGGCAAACGCGTGGACACAGGAGATGAGAGGCTCAGCATGCTTGTATCGAGACGTGAAAAGCTTTGTAAGATATTCAGGCTCGGAGAGGAGCGACTTCTTGAGATGCCCTAACTCTTCCGAGGCCCAATGAGCCCAGCTCGTCACCTCATTTTCTTGACTTTCTCCGCCAGGATCATGGATGCAAATCCATATCAACACCCAAAAAAAGGATTCCAGGTCATCTACGAAATGCTGGGGTTTTTCATTTCTAAGCAAATTGCTTGACATGAACACTTTGGTGCCCGTTCTGAAGTGGAGGTCTTTCTCGTTTTCTACAGGCCATGGAACGGCCAGATCTAGGTCAATCAGGAAAGATTTTCGATTCAAATCAGTTGCCTGCTTGGATATCATGAGATTGTGGATCGAGATATCCCCGTGAAGATAGCCAGCCCTCAATAAGTTGTGATGTCCTTCAACGCAGCCCTCAAGGGCCTCCAGCAGATGAATCGGACCATCAACTCCGCAAATGGGTTGCCCTACGTCTTTGAGAATCAACCGTCGATGAACCCGATTGGTAAAGCTATTAGGCTCTTGTGACTCAACGGACGCTTGGGTGGTACGAAGCTTTGGGCAGCTTTTGAAATTGAGATCCTTGCGAACGGAAGATTCAATGTCGACTTTCTTGCCATCCACGCAGACGTCTTCATGATGATGATATCGCGCCACATGTGAGACGTTTTGTGCTGTCACATCTCGAAGCATATCACCTTCTTCTCTCTGGCCTAGAGGTTGCCATGAATCTTTGATGAGAAATTTTTTACCCTCATCTCCAGAGAGATGGGCTTGCCAGCAGGTCGTCCCACGTCCGCAGATTCCCGAGGCTCGGGCGATCAGTTTTTCGATTATAAACTCTTGGGAGCCAGTCTCGGTTTGGATTCGTATTGCTTGTGACATACGCAATCCCGGAGTGTTAGGACGAGGCCCTTGAACCTCAATAAACGTTGGATCGAAGCCAAGAGTTTGCTCATCGCATGTTAATAAACTTAACATGATGGTCAAGAACTTTTCAAGGTTTCCTTTGTTCGCTTTGACGTCGAATGATTCAGAACCAATGGCTCCGGACCTATCAAACTGCCAGAGCTGCATTGATGTCCCACACAGGGTAAGCCCGATGACGAAGCTTCGAGTGGGCTGAGCTTCGAAGACTTCGCAGACGTGTTTGGCCAGGCAAAGAGCAGCATATCGGGCTTCTGTGTTGTTCTTCTTCAGCTCGACTGGGACCAGAACATCTCGGATGTCGTTTTCATTGTTGAAATGCCGGGACATGATCGCACCATCCAACATGCGTTTCGCATCAACGCCCTCCGAAAACCTGGTCGGATGGGCCTGCCAAGTGCGAGAATTCCGATTGTTTGGGTTTCGCTTGTCCAGCCAGGTACAGAGATGTCCTACGAGCGGTGTGATCCACTTCAATATAGAGCGCTCTGACGAGTCGTTTAATTCTTCATTGAGCTTTTCGTTAATCAAGATTTCGTGGGGTTGCAGATCGATGCCATCTTCCGGGATGAAACGCTCCACCAAGCCTGGGACATTGGTGTACAGTGATAAGACGTCCGATTCCCGTTGTAGGACAGAAATGAAGTCACGCAGGTGGCTGGAAGAATTGGTAAGGGTGGATGTGGCGCTGGTCCTGACCCGCTTCGATGTGAATGGTGAAGACGTCGCTGAGGATGTGGCGCCGGTCCTCACCCGCTTGGATGTGAATGTTGAAGGCGCGGGGGTGGGTTTGAATTCTTGTTTGATGAACTCGAGCATCTCTTGATCAGATTTGGCTTCTTTGGCGAGGATGAGGGTGATAAGAGGCCTGAAAAGTTCGAAGCGGTTGTTATTGGCAAGGAATGCTATGGTCGAGAGTTGGTCTGACATCTGGAAATCGACATCCGATGAAGCAATTCGCGAGTAAACCTTATATTGGATACATTGCTTCTTTTCTGTCAAAAAGAATAGGAAGTGTGAGATGGCAATATTCAAAGTAATGGGTTGACAAGTGAGGGTGCTCGACTTACTGCTGCTCTCGAGCCCAAAGAACTCTTCGACGGTGTTGATCGGAGCAATATATGAAGTGAGGATATTTCGCAGACTATCGTGAAGGTTTCCTGGTTCTTGGTCCATGATGATGTTGTTGACGGGGATGAGCTTTTGAGTGGAGAGTGGTGTGAAGATGGCTGTTGGAGCTGGATTGGGCTTGGTGGTTTGCAGTTGACATGTCTGTATTTCCGCGACTGGGTGACCTGTCACGCATTCAACAAACTGGCCACCAAATCAACATGGACAACATCCCCCAGTCAGATGACTCAAAATGCAAAACAAAAGAGCCATGGATGAGGGTTCAATCAGGCACTTCCACTGAAAAAAACCATACCCATCACAAACTGCCCTCATCATGCCATACTCTCACTGCAAATGTCAAACATCATCCTGAATGTGCACATCCACTTTGATCAGCTCAACTCAGGATGATACTTTTTGTATCCAGCCATTCAACAATACCCAGTTACAGCTAACCTGCACCTTGGCAGTACTTAACACATCCTTGGCCAGTATTCTAGAGCATCTATCCTGTAGCAAGCTATAGAAACTTAGAACAAGATCCAACCCTTTCCTCTCTTGACCCTCACTCACAGAAACCCAACAACCAAAACCCACCACCAGCACAACTAGGACAATGATGATGAAGACCTCAAGCAACGGTGGGCCCACTGTGCTAATGGTAGAGTTAGCATAGTGTAGTGTAGCGGAATTCCACCAACGCTTAGCGTAGCACAGCAGAATTCCACCACAGCTGTGCTAATGCTACGCATGTGGGCCCCAAAAAAGGGCCCACTACGCTGCACTACAGCACATTTGAGCAGTTTTTGGGCTGTTTTTGGTGCTAAAAGCGCTTAAGCACAGTGGAACCAAAAGTGCGCTAACACTACAGGTTTGGTGCACTGTTTTGAGGGCCGCTATGCTAAGGTTAGTGGCCGTTTAGCGTAGTGTAGCGTAGCGGCACATTGTTGCCTCAAGCGCTCAAAAAACAACTCCATTGATTTTAATCCAGATATTGTATTGATCAGTCTGATCCTCATCTGCTCCTACATCAAGCTCAACAGAGCAAACAAGAGCATCATTGATTTCAACAGTGGAGAAGAAAGAAACTACCACAAAAATCACTGGGTGGAACATCACCATTTTTGCCAAACTTCTTTGGCCAATAATCGCCTTGTCCACCCCATACCTTTGTGGTGCCAATTGAATCACTGATGAAAAATATGAGTAGGTGGTTGAATCAGATATTGATTCTTTCTGGCCCAGCTGGAGTAGCAATCAGGATACTGTATGGGTCATCTCAGTCTGCATTAGCCTGAACTCTAGAAAAAAATTATCATTATTAGTTATCCTGAATTAAACCACTGCCTGCCTGGTATTTTAAATTTTTTTCAAGCAACAGAACATAGGAAATTTGTGAAAACCAATTGGATATACTCACTTCAACTTTGTCCCTGGCCACTAAGCCAATTCTTACCAAGATCAAGAGAGAATACAAGACAGATGTGATTCAAAAAGATCTTTTGGATCAGTATCTTTTCTCAAGATTCAGATTAGATCTGCTTGTATTGATTATATAGCTTACATCAATTTCACTTTGAAAAAACGGTTGATATTCATGTTGAGTGAACAAAGATTTGATCAGATTACAAAGAATTTCCAAGAATGCTGATCAATCTTTTCTGAAACTCTTTGAACCCAAATGCCCTGTCATGGTGGCTGTCACTAAGAGAGGAAACAAAATCAGGTTCTTTAAAACTTCCGGAGCCCCTCCATCAGCCAAACATCTAAGCAAATTCTTACAAGAGGAGAGATACCTACTCAAGCCCAATCTGGCCATCAATTTTCTCTCAGCGCAATTCAGGTTAAGTGGTTCTCCTCTCTCCACCATTTTTTCCCACCCAAGTCTAGCATCATGGATTAAAAATCTTCTTTTGGTTGTCCAATAACAAAGAATGAGTGTTGTTCACGATGGGAAGGGCCTTCCAAAGCTTCAAACTGTTGATCAACAAAGTACCTGACTGGCTTCTGATGAATGTGACCACAATGCTTGGTACCAGTCTGATTCACTGGATTCATAAGCCTTCAGAGCACCAACACTTGCTCTACTAACCTACCATTGATCAAAAACTAAGGCATTATCACCCTGAAAATCTGGAATATCAAGACCTGAATAAATAACTTTCCCAAGCTTCTGCTCAACTAGCTCAAATCACCAACCAAAAACATACTTGCTATGCAAAGGCTCAATCCACAACACCAAAACAGAGAAAATAGGCAGAACTGAAGGCATGTTTTGTTGTTTATCCTCACACCTTATTTCAATTTACCTCTCTTTGTGTGTATATTTTGCTCATTGTCATGAGCTATAAGCAAATCCAATGTATTCTCTTGCTATTTTTGTCTGTTAACTTTTATTGCAAAACTATCATGCATATATTTCCACATTAAATCCAACTGGACACTCTCTCAACTGCTTCATCATCTTCAAACCATTTTTGTACTTTTGTTATTTTGGTCCTGTTGTAAATTAAATTTCAGTGCATGAATTTAACTTTTCATGTGCTATGTATCACCCTCATTCTTTTCACACTAAAACATTTGAACATAGAAGCATGAATAAGAAGGATGTAGTACACACTGATCACTTGAATGAAATGTCTGAATTACAACATGTTTTCATAGCCTACCCATTACTACTCACCTCACCCTGAGCTGTTCATTGGTCCATAAAATTCTTTTAAAATGATTTCTGTCATCTAGAAATAAAAAAATCAGAAGCTTGTCACCCAAAGTGACAAAATGTAAACTTCAAGTTTAATTTTTTTTGAGGACTGGATTCAATTAATTGAAGCAGTGGGGTTCAATGTATAACTGTTTTGATGAACTTAGGTATTTTGTATTCTACTTTTTTGCTTGATAAGATCATGAAGATAGAGTGATTCTTTTGTCATTCCCCTTTCCCATTGTATGATTTGATGCTTCTTTGCTTCAGCTTTGATTGATTCTTTTATTTTGTATGGTCTCCCAGAAAACAAATTTGTACTTTGATTAAGAATAAATTATACCATTTTTTTCAAATTTTCATTCTTGTAATACTATCCAAGGATCTTCACAACCAACTGTGCAGAGATCAAATCCTCTTTCAACATACTTGAACAGGATACTAGGCCTGACTTTGAGTGTGAAACTGTGTAAAGTATTCTTTTATCATCTGAAAGAATTAAAAATATTAATGTGTGGATGATTTTTCTTTTTTCATATTGTCTACTGATGTTGTGTTTTCATTGAAATTCCAGTCCTTTTTGTGATTCTTTTCATCTAATCAAGCCAAAAAATAAATCTGAACCATCTTCTGCCCATTTATATAATCTTCCCCTAGATATTCACAACCAAAAGATTCAAGTATTTCATGATTCAATATCCAAAGAAGTTGAAATGTTTCGTTCATATTTCCTATGATATCCTCCTTTGAATGGTACAAAAGCTTATTCTTACTTGTTTCTGAGGATTGTTTTTTGGATAATTCCTTCAGACATTTTTGAATGGACTTTTCAATTGAGTCAGAGGTTGGCTGAAAAAAAATTAATAAACTTTGGTTTGCCACTGAAAATTGGCCTGAATATCCACAACCATTGTATTTAATCTTGATTATCAAATTCAAAAGACTCTTTGGTTGAAAACACTGGTATTTCTCCTGTGGCTCTCTTGGGGAAGATTGGACTTGGGGAAGATTGGATGTACATTCTTCTCACTTTCAATCAGTAGATTTCCTAATGAATTTGAATCTCTTAGGATTATAAGATCCTGTTGGAGTAGTGTTTTCTTTCTCCTTTCTCTTTCTCTGCTTCATACCTGTTTCAGACCTGTCACTCATCTGTCACAGGATTCAGACTATACCTGGGCCAGAGTACGTGGAAGGATTCCTCTCCTCATCCTTCCACAAAACCTTTCTCTGACCCAGGTATGCACTTCTCTTTTCTTTCTCTTTTCTTTCTCTTTTCTTTTCTTCCTTTTTGTGTCTCTCTATGTTTTGTTTCTCTCTGCTGATGCAATACAAAACTTATCCTTCCACAAAACCTTTCTCTGACCCAGTTGAGTCCAACAGGTTATGAGCGCCAGCGCATTACCACTGCGATAATTCAAAAGGTTGCTATAAGGATCCGTAGGCTTCTCGATAAAGCCATCGTAAACTTCTCGTTAAATTCGCTTCGCATGAACTCGCCGCCTTCACCATTCACTAAACCTGAATACTTGCTATCAACGTCTCCAAAAAGCGATCCCGATTCCATCTCCGTTTCTTCTAAACCATTTCTTATCGACATCTCGACGCCTCGCGTTCATCCCTCCTTGACCGATTCAAAACCAAACATGTCATCCTCCGCTCAAGACTCCGAGGTGGCTAGCCACCCTACGCTCAAGCTTACCGGTGTTGAACAGTTGAAACCACCGGGCTCGGAGTCCAACTACCTAGATTGGAGCTGGGTACTAGAAATCCATTTTACCGCTACCGATGTCGACTACATCATCAACGATAAGCCCGAAGGTTGCCAAGGCAAAATCCAACTGGGATCGTGATAACAAGGCAGTCTGGGGGATCATCTCGCGCACCATTCACCCAACGAACATCTGAAATGTCCGCCATCTTAAGAACAATGGTCGTGGTCTTTGGGATGCTCTCAAGCGAGCTCATCAGGACTCCTCGGCTGGAGGAGTAACCTACTGGCTTCGCAAACTCACCTCGTCCCGCATGGTGAACGACGACTTACTAGCACACCTCGAGGACATGGCCAAGACCTTTGAACGGCTCAGTTCATTGGTAACCGCGGACGCTCCGCTGACTCCAAACGATATCTATTTGTCTTCCATCCTCACTTCCCTTCCCCCCGACTGGCTGGCCTGTGTATCCTCAATGATGAACGAACCTTGCGTTAACCCCGAGCGCGTCATCAATGCCCTAAAAGCCAAGGATCTTCGTCGCAAGACCCGTTCGGCCGACCAGCCTGTCGTTGAAGCTGCCTCTCAGGCCTCTGGGAAGAGGCAATCGAAGTCGAAGTCATCGAAACAGGACCAACCAGCTTGTCACTGCACTTTCTGCAATCTCAACGGTCACGATCTTAATCGCTGCTTTAATGTAGCCCGCCTTATCGAA